GTTTCATTTCAACAACTATTGATAACGACAAACCAACATCTCACAAACATAGGCTCCTCAAGAAAAACAAAAAAAGAGTAAGAAAACCTAAGTTACAATACCCACACGGAATTTTGTTTATTGGCTATGAGTCAGCGAAACATTCAGCATATTCTTGACTACCTAAAAATAAACACATAAAAATGTCGATGTGCATCTTATTTAACATTTTTTAGATGAAATTACTGTCATGTGAGAGATGCAAAGATACCTTCCATGTTAAAATAGAGCTACACACTCCTATGAATAATATATTTTACAAGTAGCGGCAACCAACACTCATCAACTATAAACAAATAAAAGAATCTATTAATTATCATATAACAGAACAGCTATATTGACAAAGGCTTGTTACAAATAAGAAGACTGGTTGATAGTAGGTTTAAGCAGTACCTCAGGCAATCGAAAGAATAATACTTTGTTTTGAACAACCGGCAATGCTTCTTTAGGGGAAGGGCATGAACCTATTTCAATGAGCAGAGTTTCATCAAGTTGATTGATATTATTGCATACTGTCCCTCCCAAGCAAATATCCATCATCAGCCCTTCTCCTAGAAGAGTCTGACAAAGATTTATTATGTACTCTTCCAACCCTACAAACATAGTTGAGGCCCACAAGAAGCTCTGTAATGACAGCTTCAGTTTTTTCTTGATCTGCATAGTGAAGTGTTTGTACTAGAAGTGTGTTTGACCTGGAAACTACATGCTGCTCCTCGAAGTTACGCTCAGATTGCCACCTTATCATGTTGTGAGCAAGTGGAGCCAGCCATTCCAAGATCCGCTCCAGTGCTTGATTCCACTCTGCAGCAAGGGATGGATCATAGATGTATGAAGCAAGAGTCTTCCCAAATGACTTCAATTTAGCCTGCAGATTATTCCTTAAGCTAGTAGATAACATATTGTAAAGGTCATCTCTTGTGTCAAGGTCAATCAAGTGAGGTGACAAAACTAGTTTTTCAATCAAGATAATCACTTTAGCATAGCGGATGTCTACAGCTGCACCACCAAGAGTTGAGGGAGGTGGTTTTGACAACTGCTTGGAATTGAAGATGGATAATTTCGAATATATTTTGTGGTTGCAGGTAAAAGACTCCGCATTTTTGCTTTCCATCCTGTCAATTTTTTTGGTATTAACTAAAGTAAACCTCATAGATCCAGATCCAATTGGTCTGCAGCTGTGTAAAACAGGAGAATCACCTCCAGCTGATATGCATCCCTTGAAAGGACCAACATGACCCAACCCTTTGGATTTTGACCGTGGATGCTTGCCATTTAGAACAGCTTGTTGAAAATGAGCTTGTTGATGTTTTTTGTTTGTTCTATTATTGTCAGTGGCAAGCAAGGACTTTGAACATGACCTGCCAAGAGGTCCTGAAGAGAAACCACAAAGACTATTATCAGAAGGATATACAGAGGATGGCATAACAGCAGAAAAGGACAGACTGCGAGAAAGACTGTCAGAAGTAATTGATTCACAATAATTGTTGCCGTCTTCAGATGCCATTTGATCAGTCCCAAATATATGTTTGATCCTTGCAAGTATTGTCAAAAGTGATCTAACAAGAAGCCGGACAACGTAATCATAGGTTCTAACCCAAGGGGACATCTCTCTTAGATTCCTCACCTCCTGGCGCTGCCATAATACTTTCTGCTGAAACTCAAATAACTTCACCTGCTCTGACTCAGAATTCCTCTGCATTCTTCTAAGAGTTTGCTCAAGTTCAGCCAAAACTTCGAGCTCTTGAGTCAACTGCATGGTATGTGAAATAAATCTCCGCATTTTCTTCACTTTCCTCTCCATCTTCTTCCATCTATATTGCAACCCAATCCATTCAAAATTATTCAGATGTGGGTCATCTAAGAAATGTTCAAAGCGGTGATATTTAGGGTCCGTGCACCTCTTCCCAAGCCTAGCAACATACCTTGCCAGTTGTCCAAAATTCTCCATTATTTCATTCAATACAAGATCCATTAGATAAACATGATCTCCAGACACAAGTTTTTGAAGTGCAATTGAGTTAACAATCTCTTCCCTCAACCTTGTAATCTCCTTATCTTCCAAACAATGCCACAAATTCACAACTTTAGACATCAAACCGGCAACTTCAACTGCCAAGATTCCAACCACTCCCTTGTCAGTAATCTCTGTTGCACCCTTCTTTGAAGTCCACCGTAAACTGCCAAACCAAGATTCAGTTGCCATCTCACGGCCCATAATCCTCTATATTACGAACTCCAACAGAAAATAAAATCTCAAGAAATCTCCCAATTCCTGGATCAGACTAATGAATCAGCAACCACCTAAATATTACATTGTTTGTTGCTATAAATCACTTGTATAGAACATAGGTGTAAAACTACAAATCTCTACATAATAAAATGGGGGAAAAAAAAATCAAAACCTCAAATTTTATAAGTTTCCAGTAGCTTAGACCTTTCAGAAACGTTGATTTAAGATTTGAAATTTGAGAGATATACTTATTCTACGTTGAGAACCAAAAAAAGGGTAAATTGAGGATTTCAAAAAGTTTCTAACTTTATTCTACGTTTCCCCATTTTCCCAGAAACCCAATTTAGTAACAGTCAAAGAATTCAAAAATTTTCACTTCAAGCAATTTTAAAAATCCAATCGAGTTTGATGCTAAGTGGGTCTCAACTCACCAGTGTCTTCACTCAACAAGATCTCAAATTAGAAATTTAAACCAGCAAAAAAAGAAAAAAAAAAAAACTGAAAAACGTAAACTTACGGTGGCTGAGCTGAAGCAGGGAAGACCGAGTCTAACAGAAGCAACATTGAGCCAAAAATGAAAGAGAAAAGAGATGCTCGGGCGGCGGAGTAGGGTTAGACGACCGTTGGCTAGAGAGAAGGGACACAGGACGCATATAGGGGAGAGGATAAGAAGAGACAAAAGGGTCAAACCGAGG